GCAAGTCCCCTAAAAGGCTCTGGCATAGGCTTTCCCCTCTCTTCTTTCTGCCTCCTGACCAAGCCTGCTGCTCCTACATTTGGCCCTACAAAGGAGGAAATGTACTGAAAATCATTTAATGGCATCAGCCTATGTCATCAGTTAGTCACCTTCATAAATTAAAATTCCGTAAGTACAAATCAGACACCCATCTTAAAAAGGCAAATGGAATGTTGTTATTAACAAAAATAGTTCTGATTTTATGGACTACCTCTCCCCCTCCCCGCCTCCCACATAAGGATCTCATATACTGAGGTCCATAAATCACACTTTGGGAACTGCTGGTTTAGGCCTTTCTTCTTGTTTTTCATGTTTTTAACATTTCAGTCCTCTTTTTTCTTTTGTTTGGTCTCCTATTTATAGGCATTCTTAAATCTATCCAAAAAGTAAAAAGAAAAATCATTGTCTAATATATCTTCCTTTTAGTTTTCATTTTCTTTCCTTTCTTTCCCTGTGCAGTGTCTTAACTGTTTCTTGCAGTCAGGCTTACATCCTATTCTCACCATGACACCTGCCATCAGATTTCAAAATCCATATGCTGTGGCCCTAAGATAATTTTAGTATCCACTTTTTAAAAATAAATTTATTTCCAATAAGTTTCCATGTTCCATATACATAGTGCTCAGATTTCTGATTCCTACCCACCTTGATTTGGGTAAAAAAAAAACTAACTCATTTTAATTCTGTTTCCCTGAGTGCCTTTTCACATCTTCATTTCTTTTCCTCCCTCCTTTATTGCCTAGGAAAATGAATATTTATTGAATAAATTGATTTTATTTCAGTGGTCTCTTGTTGATATCCTTAAAGGCTCTTTCTTCGTCTTCAGTTCTTGCTTTTATAAGAGTCCTATAAGTTGGGGCACCTGGGTGGTACAGTCGATTAAGTATCCGATTCTTGGTTTCCACTCAGGGCACTCAGGTTTTGGTCTCCTTGTGGGGTCTAGCCTTGTGTCAGGCTCTGGACTCAGCGTAGAGTCTGCTCAGGATTCTCTTGCCCTCTCCCTCTGCATATCCCCCTCCCCGCTTGCACGTCTGCACGCTCTCTCTTAAAAAAAAAAAAAAAAGTTCTGTAAACTATAATAATCTGATCCATTCTCAAGTTGGTTTTCTTGTTTTTTATGTGAATGGCTTTCAAATAGACATTTTCAGCCCACTTCTCCCATTTAAACTCTAGTGTATATTTTGATCTTCCTAGAGCAATACAACAATCAGTTGTGTCATACCTTTGATTATTGATTTTTTAAAAAGATTTAAGGGGCACCTGGGTGGCTCAGTCACTTAAGCGGCTGCCTTTGGCTCAGGTCATGATCCCAGGGTCCTGGGATCAAGCCCCATGTCGGGCTCCTTGCTCAGCAGGGAGCCTGCTTCTCCCTCTCCCTCTGCCTGCCGCTCCCCCTGCTTGTGCTCTCTATCTCTCTCTGTGTGTCAAATAAATAAATAAAATCTTTAAAAAAAAGATTTTATTTATTTGTCAGAGAGAGAGCACACACAGTATACACAAGACCACCCTCACTTCTGACACCAACTGTAAGTTCGAGGGTCCCCAAGACTACTGCTAGTATCAACAATATGCTATAAGGATCCATGGAACTTACTGAAAGCTGTTGTGTTCACAGTTAACAGTTTATTACAGAAGAAAAAATACAGATTAGAATCAGTCAAGCAGAAAGGGCAAAGTCCAGGAAAGTACCAAACATGAAGCTTCTAGTAGACCTCTCTCTGTGGAATCATGGCCAAAATTACCTTGCTGGTGTGACAATACATACAGAATATTGCCAACCAGGGAAGCATCACCTGAGCCCCTTGTCCAGAGTTTATATCGGGGCTCCATAACATAGGCATGATTAACTGTACATGTAGCCAGTCTCAGTTTTCAGCCCCTTTAGAAGTCAAGCTGATACTCTGTGACCGAAAGCATGCACCCTAATCACACTCTTCGTGTGGCTCTAAGATCTCACGCTAAATTACATTGTGACTTACTAGCTGCCTAAAGGCTCCCAGGCAAACAAATACATATTCCAAGGGCTTAGAAGATTACTTCCCAGAAGCCAAAGGCAAATGTCAGATGTCTCTTTGGGCAAGATTATATTCTTTACTATACAATACAATATATATCATTTAGTTAAAAGATCAAGTTTCACTTCCTCTGTGAAATGTTCCTTGACTTCTCCAGACCATGTTCAATTCCTTTTTTTCTGCATTCACATTCTACTTATGTCTGTAAATTGCAAACAGACACATTCTCTGGTATGATCAAGCTTCTTTCCCATCCGAACAGTTGCCCCCAAAAAAGGTTCTTTTACTTTTCCTTACTGTAGTTTGTAACAGAGGCTAGATATCCAATAGTTACCTGACTATCTTTGATTCCATGCAAGGAAAACATCTTTCCTATCCATTCAGAAATAATTTAATGATAAGTTCTTTTAAATATACATGCCAAGAGGCACCTGGGTGGCTCAGTCAGTTACTGCCTTCGGCTCATGTCATGATCCAGGGGTCCTGGGATCAAGTCCCGCATCAGGTTCCCTGCTCGGTGGGGAGCCTGCTTCTCCCTCTGCCTCTGCTGCTCCCCCTGCTTGTGCTCTCTTTGTATCTCTCAAATAAATAAAATCTTTAAAATAAATAAATAAATAAATATATATATATATGTATTAAATATACACACACACACACACATATATATATATGCATGCCAAGATCACATCCCTTTATCTCAGATAACCGTGTGTTAACATATACTAAGAAGATAGTCAATAAAATATTGACATCCAAGAGTATAAGTTTTAGTTGGGAAGGCAATATTATCAAATTGAGCATTTTACATATAATATTCATATTAAAAGAGCAGGTTGTTGAAAGAGTTCTTGAAATGGATGGTCCAGACTATAATTATAATCTAATTTCAGATAAATTCGACATTAAAGGATACAAATAATATATGAAGGCTTTTGGATAAATTGAATAATAGAATGTCCCTGCAGGTGGTTAAGGCTCTTAGAAAGATGATGTTACTCCAGTTACTAATACAGATTAGTTTTAGCGTGTTCTAGAACTGCACATAAATGGAATTGTATAATATGTACTCTTTTGCATAAAGCTTTCACTCTGAAAAATGAGATTCATCTCTTTCCATTGTGTGTCAGTAGATTTTTTTCTTTTTTATTGGTGAGTAGTATCACATTATATACATACATGACACAATATTACCATTTACCTTTTGATGAGTACTTGGGCAGTTACCAGTTAAGGGCTATTGTAAATAAGACACAAGTCAAGTGTAAGATGAATCCATATTTAAAATTACCATACTAGAAATGGGTGGTAGTAAGGGAACAATAATCAGATATAGCCAAGAATTATAAGAAAAATAATAGAGTAAAAAAAAAAAAAAGAAAAATATTAAAGTCGGTCAGTGCTGTAAACATACAGTTGAAGAATCTAGGCCTTCACATTCCCCATAGGGAATAGCAGAGTTAAGGTATGTTACTGCATTGGGAGGAAAACTTAAACCCATCCTTCCTGAAAACTGAAAAAGTAATTCAGAAAATGAAAGGAGGAAAAGTTAGAACTGATGGTCAGGAGAATTCAGTTACTGACCATCTCTGCAAGAATAAATCGATGGTAACAGCAGTCAGAATACAACAGTGATTATATTCATGTTTCAAGTATGCTTTGTTGTCTGGTTTATTTTACAACTCCTAATGGAAATAGGTTTCCGAAAGTCTTCCCTTTCAAGAGAAAATAAGTTGTGTGGAGAGTTAGGGCCTACGCTATAAACAGTGTTTCTCTCAACATTAGGAAAGGAGTGCTTGAGAAAGTTCATTTGCCATGGGTGGGTTACATGCAAGTGAGGAAGAAACAAATGGAAGTCTTTTATAACACATATTTAGGCATGAGGGAATAATATTTAGGCTTTCATTTCTACCTGAACATTTTCCTTGCTTACTGGTTAGTACCCTTAATAAGCTCACTCCATTATTTCTGAATCTGCCCATTCCAAGAACAATCCCACTTTCATCATCCTTTGTCTTCTGTTTACTTGTCCTTGTGATTATTAGACCTGCTCAAGGTAGTTTATATTTACAATATGCCAAAGATGTGAGTGTTCTTTTCTTATGCCAACTTTTCCTCACTTTAACTGTGTAGCAGGATTTGTGTTTATGTCATATGAATTTTCCCTACCAAGAGGTATTTTATTTTGGCCTTTGTATAGACCAAAATAGTGAGGCAGACAGTTGCACAATGGGTTGTTTGTATATACATCCAATCCATAACATTTATGTGAAAACTTACAATGTTGTTATTCTTTTCTAGAAGAAGATGGAAAAACTGAAGATGTTTTAGTGAAGTTCAAAGAATACCAAGACAGGCACTCCAGATCAGTCATATTCATCAACCACAAAAGACTAATTAAGGAAAGAAGTAATATTTTTGGGAAAACACTTACCGTAGGCAAGAACCGTATTATTTCAAAAACAACGCTACGTGAATATAAGCCTGATGGAAAGGTTTTAAAAAATATTTCGGAATTAGTCAGTAGAAATATAAGCCCTGTAAGAGAGAAGTTTGGTGAGAGTAATGGATGGGAGAAATCATTACTCAATACTAAGAATGAGAAAATTCATACTACAGTGAACCTCTATAAACAAACAGAAAGGAGTCTGAGTGGTAAACAAGAGCTTATTCAACATCAGAAGGTTCAAACTCCTGAGCAATCATTAGATCATAATGAATGTGAAAAATCCTTCCTTATGAAAGGAATGTTATTTACACATACCCGAGCTCACAAAGGAGACAAACCCTTTGAATACAATAAAGATGGAATAGCCTTAATCGAAAAGTCAAATCTCAATGCCCATTCACAAACTCTTATTGAGAAGAAACCCCATGCATACAGCAAATATGGGAAGTTCCTCTGCAGGAAGTCTGTTTTTATCGTGCATCAGAGATCTCAAACCGAAGAGAAACCCTTTCAGTGTCCTTACTGTGGGAATAGCTTTAGAAGGAAGTCATATCTCATTGAACATCAACGAATTCACACAGGTGAGAAACCTTATGTTTGCAATCAATGTGGGAAAGCTTTCCGTCAAAAGACAGCCCTCACTCTACACGAGAAAACACATATAGAGGGGAAGCCCTACATCTGTATGGATTGTGGGAAGTCCTTCCGCCAGAAGGCAACTCTCACTAGACATCACAAAACACACACAGGGGAGAAAGCCTATGAATGTACTCAGTGTGGAAGTGCTTTTAGAAAGAAGTCATACCTCATTGATCATCAGAGAACTCACACAGGAGAGAAACCATATCAATGTAATGAGTGTGGGAAGGCATTTATCCAGAAGACAACTCTCACTGTACATCAGAGAACTCACACAGGAGAGAAACCCTATATTTGCAGTGAATGTGGGAAGTCCTTCTGCCAAAAGACAACCCTCACTCTCCATCAAAGAATTCACACTGGGGAAAAACCGTATATTTGTAATGAATGTGGGAAGTCCTTTCGCCAGAAGGCAATCCTCACTGTTCATCAGAGAATACATACAGGAGAGAAATCCAATGGATGTTCTCAGTGTGGGAAAGCCTTTAGTAGGAAATCAAACCTCATTCGCCATCAGAAAACTCACACAGGAGAGAAACCATATGAATGTAAAGAATGTGGGAAGTTCTTCACTTGTAAGTCAAACCTCATTGTACATCAAAAAACTCACAAGGTAGAAACCTTGGGAATTCAGTAAAGAATATGACTTTTCAGTAAAAACTTTTGACGTCATAGTAAACCCTATACATGATGTAGCTTGCAAATATAATATTCAACAGTTTTAGCTACTATTCCACAAATTTACCTACTGTTTGTGAACCTATATAACACAAAGAATGACTAGACAAATGACAATAGTCATTGAAAATACCACCCTAAATTTTTTATTGTTAGATTCAGCAGGCATAAACTTCCTCTGTCAAGTTTCTACAAACATTAAAAATTGCTTATTTTCAATTTCAAAACATACCTTGTTGTGACCCAGTAATAAGGAGTTGACCAACTGGCAGTGGTCTGTGGACCACACTGTGAGCAGAGGTGTTTTAAAGAAAGGAAGTGTGAATTGTATTTCTTGTTGGAAATATGAAATAAAAATTAGTTGTTACCTCCTCAAAATTTACCACAGTTCTGACTTCTAACATTATAAATTATGTTTTGCATATTAGGAACCTTATATAAATTGGATTATAAATCATGTATTCTTTTATATATGGTTTGTTTCATTCATTATGTCTGTAAGACTCATTAGTGCATGCAGAAGTTCATTTATTTCTATTCTATATAGAATTCCATCATATGATTAAATTACAATTTATCCAATCTACTCTTGATGGACTTTTTCATTGTTTACAGTTTAGGGTCATATTAAATAATGCCTCTGTGAACATATTTGTTTTTTGGGGTTTTTTTTAAGATATTTTTTATTTATTTGACAGAGAGACAGACAGCACAGGTAGGCAGAGGGGCAGGCAGAGGGAAAGGGAGAAGCAGGCTCTCTGCTGAGCAGGGAGCCCGATGTGGGGCTCAATCCCAGGACCCTGGGATCATGGCCTGAGCCGAAGGCAGACGCTTAACCAACTGAGCCACCCAGGTGCCCCAGTTTTTTGGTGTACGTATATACGTTCATTTCTCTTGTGTACATACTAGGAATGGACTTGCTGGGTCCTGGAGCATATGTGTTTGGTTAGCTTTGGTAGATACTACCAAACAACTCAGAACTTTCACAGCATGAGATAATTCACTCTGAAGGAAAACAACTGTGAATATTAGCGATATGGTGATGGTTCCAACCAGAGAATTCATGCTAGAGGGAAATTCTACAAATATGAAAACTGAGAATCCAATTATAATGCATGTACAAAGGCTTTTAGCCACAGCCCAAACTGTAATATAATACCAAACAAATGTAATAAATGTGAGATTGCCTCTAGCCACAAAAATGCCATATTTGAAATCCAAAAGTCATACTCAGGAAAGGAAGGCTCCTAGCATGCTTCCTTGCATTAGAGAGTTCTAACTGGAGAAAAATCTTATAAGTATAGTAAAGAGAATAGGGGATAATAGCTTTTACCTATGGCCTATATCTTGCTGGATGTGTAAAAATGATGAATATGGAAAAGCTTATGGTTCATACACAACACCATGGAATTCACATTGGATGGGAACTCTTTAAATGAAATGATCATAGGGGGTGCCTGGGTGGCTCAGTCAGTTGAGCATCCAACTCTTGATTTTGGCTTAGGTCATGGTCTCAGGGTCATGAGATCAAGCCCCGAGTCAGGCTCCACCCACAGGAGCCTGCTTGGGGTTTCTCTCTCCCTCTATCCTTCCCCACAACTCCCAACACACATGCTCTCTCTAAAAAAAAAAAAATTATCATAAGAATGACTTTAGCCATAGCTCACTCCTTACACAACATCAAAAAATTTATACTAAAGAAAGGAAAATTTCAAAAGGGAATAGATGAGGCTTGGAACTCTAACTCTGGGGAAAGCTGCTTCCAGGAAGAAGTGTAACCATCCTGAGATTATAATGCTAGAGAGTCTACTTGTAGGCACCTGGTTAATAGCCCCAGCTAAGCTCCCAGCCATCATCCAGTAACAACTGTCAACTAAATGAGCCATCTGGGACACCTAATCAAGTCTTCAGATGACTGTAGCCCCTAGTAACATCCAACTAGAACCACCTGAAAGACCCCAAGCAAGAACTGCTCAGCTAAAGCCTTCTCAAATTCCTGACCCACAAAATGGTTACATTTTAAAAATTAAATTGGAGGGGCGCCTGGGTGGCTCAGTCGTTAAGCGTCTGTCTGCCTTCGGCTCAGGTCATGATCCCAGGGTCCTGGGATTGAACCCTGCATTGGGCTCCCTGCTCAGCGGGAAGCCTGCTTCTCCCTCTCCCACTCCCCCTGCTTGTGTTCCCTCTCTCGCTGTGTCTCTCTGTCAAAAAATAAATAAATAAAACTTAAAAAAAAAAAAAAGATCCTGCGCAGAGTCATTTCCCTGATGTTCCATGAACTAAGATGCAGAGAGAGATCAAGATATGGAGATAAGGGGGCACCTGGGTGGCTCAGTTAGTTAGGCATCTGCCTTTGGCTCGGGTCATTTTCCTGGAGTCCTGGGATGGAGCCCTGCGTTGGGCTCCTTGCTCAGCAGGGAGCCTGCTTCTGCCTCTCCCTCTGCCTGCTGCTCCCCCCTGCTTGTGCTCTCTCTCAAATAAATAGTCTTTCTAAAATAAAAAAAAAGGTATGGAGATAAGTACAGCCACGTCCTTGTAGAAGGCACTTTCAATGCTTTGAAGAAAGTCTAAATGAATTTTTGCTTTCTAACAGCTATTCACATATAAGCTGCTTCTTAGAAAAAGCAGGCCCAATATTTTATGTTTTGGTGTGAAACAGCATTGGGCTATGTTCCATACTCCTATATGAAGATTTCTTTTGAAGAAGTTGGGCATGTTCTTTTTCATTAATTTTTATGAATATTTTATGAATGGATAAATATATGAAATGAGGACTTTTCAACTAACCTATTGGTGAATGAAGTTTGGGCAGCTCTTGGGAGTGAATATGATTTTGGATTGCAAGCCCACTTACTCCTAAATATATATAACAGAATAGGAATTAATCACAAATTCATATTTTATACACCTAACTGCAAGGTCATGAGACAAAAGACAGTTAACATGCGCAAAGATTCCATCAGTCCAAAGGACTGACAAGACTCCACAGAGCATATCCACGTAATGTTTTCATTTAAAAGCAAAAGGGGGGTGCCTGGGTGACTCAGTTAAGCATCTGACTCATGATCTCAGCTCAGGTCTTGATCTCAGGGATGTGAGTTCAAGCCCCACATTGTGGAGCCTACTTAAAAAAATAAATAATAAAAAAATAATAAATAAAACCAAAGGATGTGGCTCACTAAGAGAAAGAAAAGGTAGGTAAGTAATTAGGGAGTCAGAATTATTCACGTGCAACCTCCCCAGTGTCCTTATTCACATGCAGACTGCACTTTTTCTTTAGGTTGAACCACTAAGATCTGTGTGAATCTACTTTGGGAGAGCTCAAGGCAGAAGTTCCCTGCAAGGGCTTTTATGCCCATCTGTTCACTCATTACGTAATCAAGCTAGGCTATCTAATCATTTACTTGATAAACAAATTGGCTCTGGAGGTCTACAGGGGAGCTTTAGACTTTAAATAGCGCCTCACATATCTCTGCCCTTATCTCAATCAAGGGTCAATGCCAGACATCCAAGCATCATGAACATAATGTTAGAGCTTTTCTAATTAACTACTGTTAACTTTCTCCTATCCTTCTCCAAAGGAAACTATGCCCACTTACCAAGGTAGCTGCATTGGGGAAAAAGACATAATCATACTTTTTAGGAATTACGGAACATTGGATTGAATTGACTCAAATTCCTGGAAACCCAAAATGTCACTGTGGTCCATCAGTTACAGTCGGGGCTAATGGAGGTCAGGTGACCAATGGAATTTTAGCTCAAGGCTGTCTCACAGTGAGCCCATTGGTCTCTCAGCCCATCTTGCAGTTATTTCCCCAGTTCCAAATGTGTAATTGGAATAGACATACTTGGCAACTAACAGAACCCCATATTAGTTCTCTGACCTGTGGTGAGGGTTATTATGGTAGGGAAGGCCAACTGGAAGCCTTTGTAGGTATAACTGCCTCTACCCACAAAAATAGTAATAAAAAAAATAATACCACAATCCTGTAGGTATTGCAGATATTTGTGGCACTGGACTTGAAAGGTGAGTGGTGATTTCTAACATACTTCATTCAAGTCACTTATTTGACTTACGCAGAAAACAGATGGATCTTAAATGACGATAGATTATCATAAATTTAATCAGGTGGTAATCCTAATTGCATTCCAGATGTGGTTTTGTTGCTTGAGCAAATTAACACATCCTCTGGTATGTGGTATACAGCTATTGACCTGGAAAAATTATTTTCTAGATATCTTTTTTTTTTTAAAGATTTATTTATTTATTTTGAGAGAGAGAGAGAGAGAGTACACGAGAGCGGGGAGGGTTAGAGGGAGAAGCAGGCCCCTCGCCGAGCAGGGAGCCCAATGCGGGACTCGATCCCGGGACTCCAGGATCATGACCTGAGCTGAAGGCAGTTGCTCAACCAACTGAGCCACCCAGGCGCCCCTCTAGATATCTTTTAGTAAAGACCACCAGAAGTACTGTGTTTTCAGGCCAGCAAATACACCTTCACTGTTCTACCTCAGTAGCTGTGTTAGTCTGGGTTCTCCAGAGAAACAGAACAACTTAGGGGTTTATACAGACATATACACATCTGTGTGTGTGTGTGTGTATGTGTGCAAACCCCTAAGTGGTACCCCCCACATACAGATACATATATGTGTGTACATACACATACATGCGTGTATATTTTGTATATACACACATATGTATGCATGTAACATGTATACAAATACACACACACATATATATATATATATTTTAAAGATTTTATTTATTTATTTGACAGAGAGATAGCGAGAGCAGAAACACAAGCAGGGAGCCCGATGTGGGGCTCGATCCCAGGACTCTGGGATCATGACCTGAGCCGAAGGCAGACACCCAACGTCTGAGCCACCCAGGTGCCCCTACACACACACATATATAAAGAAACAGAAGGCAGAGAAAGA